GGGTGTGGGGGGGGCGGGTACAGCTGGCTCTGCCTCTAGATAGGCAGAGCCAGCTGTCACTCACGCAGCTGGGCGGATCCAGACATAATTGTCGGGATCCGCTTCAGCTGTGGCGTCTCAGTATAAACTGTAGCTCGTGGTATACTGAGCATAGGGTGACTGGAGGACGCTAGTTTGTGTCCTCCCGTTACTCTAAGGAGAACTATGGGGAAAAGCCTTAACCCCATAGTTCTCCTTAAGACGCCTGACTTTTTTTTTTTCTCTCTTTCTATCTCATTGTGAAGTTTTGCTTTCACTTCCTGCCCCTTAAACACACAAGGAAGTGAGAGAAAATCCCTCCAAAGTGATGGAAATCCCCGCTTAGACAGTTTTTACCACAACAATTGTGCCAATTGGAATATTTCCCCTCCTTTTCTTTGGGTTCTCTCTACTTTCAGTCCCGGTGACTGTGGTCACCTCAACAAATCAATCGGGAACAACGAAAGCAATAAAAATGTGATAGTGTTGATAACTCTTCTCTACTCCAATCCAAAACAATAATAAAAAAAAAGCCACTAGCAGGATTTTAGTAATCTTCAGCAATGCTTGAAACGTGTAGAAAGTTCACATTCGATGAGTCGCACCATGTACGTTGGGCAGCATTGTTCAGCTCAGGTCCAGCGTAATGACGAGCAAAGTTGCAATGTTTTCAATTGGCCCAGTTCACACCACCGCACTGCACTATTGTGCACTGGGTGAAAATAGGACATTGTGCATTTAAATGCAGCACATTAGGAATTGCAACACAATACAAAATAAAGTGATTTAGCTCCTGCTGTGGAAAAGGAAAATTAACACAACACATTAAAAAAAGCACGACAATGCACAACACAAGTGCATTCTACAAGTTTACAAATTAGTATTGAGATAGTATTGAGTAGCCACCCCCCCAGAAGGAAGGACAGTGTCAGCACCAATTCAGAGATGATTTGAGGATCTACAGCCGAGTGATACACAAATAAGATACATTTTTGTTAAGAGAACTATTGGGTAAGTGGTTTTCCCCATTGTTTTCTTAAGGGTCCCGGAGGACATATACTCCCATGACCCAGAGCTCAGTATATCGCGAGCTACAGCTCACGGTATACTTAGACCGCCGCCCCGGGCCGGATCCTGACAATGCTTTAAAGATCCACCCAGCTGCGTAAATGACAGCTGGCACTGCCTATCTAGAGGCAGAGCCAGCTGTGCCCACCCCCTCCCCCGTCTGTTCTTCCAGCCAGCGCTGGAGGATCGGAGCAGGGAGAGGGGGGGGGGATCCCTGCGGGGAGCGTTGACTGACATTCACCGCTCTCTGCAGGGAGATGAATGAGAAGTGAGCGAGCGCCAGTATGTGTTCGCTCACTTCCCGATCTATTGAGCCGACCTGTGACAGTTTCATAGTCACACGTCGGCTCAAACTATGAGTGATTTTCACTCACCTCATAGTTCTCCTTTTTAATAGTTAAGGTACTTGAATGTATTTTTTGCGATTTAACTCCTTTTAGTGTCACTTTAGGGTGAGAGCCTGCTGTGCAGCCTCTCTTGGTTCTCTTGATGAATGCACAGCACCGTTTTGAATTTCTGCTCCGGTTGTCCAGCAATCCACACTGGAAACTGCCAGACATTTACCAGTGACTCCATGCGACTTGTGGTTTAACTCAACCCCCCTCATGCTACCTATATCTTTGACAGCATCTGGTCACAGCGGAAGCTTTTCCTGGTCAGGCTTTGCAATTACAAGACGTAAATAGCAAGAGTGGGGCTGAGCAACACCATGAGCTGGTTGGTAAATGGCTGGCAGATCTAAGGCAGATTGCTGGAAAGCTAGAGTGTGGAGAGAAGTCAAACCTGGTGCTGTGTATTAAGGTGCGTGTGTTATATGGCTGTTTTTAAAGTTCTTTGATGAGTTGTAGGGTGAACTTCCACTTTAAGGGTAGATGCACACTTGTGATCATTTAAAGCCCAAATGAACTCCGTTTAAATTGCCTAAATGCATTCCAGGTGCATCAAAACAAAATGTGTTGAATGTCTTAAGGTGGCCATACACTCTACAACCATCGCAAGACTTTAGTCTTGCGATGGTTGTAAAGGGATTTAAAAAACGTACGATCTGCCTATCTTGGACAGGCAGATCGCACTCTCGATCATCGCAAGCCCGCCCCCCTGAGGGGCGGGCTTCCGATGACCGCAATGCTGAACGGGCAGTGTGCG